CGAATATTTTCTTGAAATTTTTATCTTTATTTTTATCTTTATTTTTATCTTTATATTTTTTATTTTAGAATTTTTTTTAGATCAAAATCTATCGATCTTATTATAATCTTAGACTTTGTATGATTACTTGCAAAACCTTATTTCTAGAACGCTTTATGAGAAATTCTTAATTATTTAAATAAATGTTTAATTATTTAAATTCTTCGATTTTTTTATATTTGATTTTTAAAGAAGGATATCTTTCTTACAATTTTGATCTTTATGGCAGATAAAGTATTGACACCATTTACACTCGTTCTCAAATATCGTTAAGGTTTAAGATTTACTCTCTCTTACAGAAACGAGCTATATACATATATATTATCAACTTTGTTAAGAACATTACATAAATTTATTCTCGTTCGCAAATGTAATTGCGAATTTTTCGGCGTTGTAAACGCAAAACGCGCTCTTTGCGTGTTTAATGAGTTTAGCGTGTAGCGTGTACATACGTATATATGCATTTTGTTAAAACGTATGTACACTTGTGCATACCTGAAAAAATAAATCTACCTTTGTACCACGAATCGCTGTGTTATTTGTCTATTAAACTTTTAAAACATAAAATTTAATGAAAAATGCATATTTAAGTTTAAGGAAATTTAACAATTTAATATCTTTTTAAATTCTACTTTCTTTTAAATTGATAATTATTAAGCAAACTTTCAACTTTCCATTATAAATTCTTAAAAATACAAAATATAAGAAAGAATATAAGAAGAATGTTTATGTAATTATTTAATTATTTTTTAAGATTTTTAACATCATATATTTTTAAGAGTTCAATAAAAAGTTTTTAATAATTAAATAATTTAATAATTTATTAATTTTTTATCATTTTATAGAGTAAATCTTAAAAAGAAGTTCCCCCACATTTATATTTCTTATATCTTTTAAATTTAAAAATGCCGCCTGCAAGAATAGTAAAAGTATGGCGGGAAAATTTGACTTCATTCGTTTTCTTCAATTTCTTGTTATAAATAACATAAATTCACATTTACAAGTAAATATATATATTTATTATATATATTTTGCAAATATATATAATATATAAACATTATATTGAACAACGGATATATATTTTTCTTTGACAAACAATTTTTCTGTCTAAATTCTTTTCTGAAAATAAATATGGCGGACATACCATATAGGTTGCGTTCCGATATTCATTGCAAATACTGAAAATCTATAATATACGTGACCTGAATTATATATTTTCAGTATTGGCAGTGAATATCGGAACGCAGCCATATTTACGGATCGATCGGGGGTTATTGGCAGGTTATCATGCCTTGAGTCGATAAGTCACAACACCTTATCAGGTGTCTGCAAGTTGTGTGACAATGTATAAAGTGTAATATGTAATAAGTATAACGATAAATAATAATTTTAGTCACAAGATATGACTCCAACATGTCAAAATTATGAGTATATTTGAACGGACTCGAGGACACAAACGAAAATGGTAAAGATACAGTGGTCCTTGGCGAAGGCGCCAAGTGTTCTTAGGTAAACCAATAAATTTTTCTATTATTATGAATATTTATCTGTTCAATTTTATGCATCGTCACGAATTTTTCTTTCTATTTTTGTTATTTTTATCTATATTAATCTATCTTGCATTAAAAATTATCGGATTTTTCCGCTTATTGCTTCCTTGTATAATTTTATACAAACCTAATAAGTGACTCGATTTATTTCAAGGGTTAGTTTAAAACAGAAGTGGTGGCAGCTTCAAATTGTCTTCAAATCTTTGTTCTATAATGACTTCCTCAACTGGAGTTATGCTTGTGATATTCTTATGGAACCCATGTTCTGGTTTGTTGAAAACTTCACTTCCTTTTTGGGTCCGGTAAGAGTTTAAATATTATTATTATTATTATTATTATTATTATTCTTATGTTACAAAATCTCAGTTTTAGCAACACAATTATAATTTCATTATGAAGATGAGATTTTATTTTATATTTTATATTGTATTTTCATTAAGCAATCTGTATGGAATCGAATTTGATAGCCAAGTTCAAAAAGCAACACTAGAATTTTGATATTTGAAAACTAATTCCTGTGATTTATTAAGTTTAAAAACAGAATTTAACTAAAATCAGCGTATATTGATGTTTCTTGAGCAATTGAAAAATATTAGAGATTTTTTATTGTGATTGTGTTATAAATTTTGTTAGAATGAAAGTTAGTATTTTTATTTTTTTTACAATCGATGTTATTTTATTAATATGTACGCTGCAATAGCCAGTGTACTTATACACAATAGTTTCGTTTATTAGTATATTACATGAATAATACTTTATAAAATATTCCTGATACTTTATTTTGCATAAGGCAAGCCTTGTGACATTCACAATGTATTTACTAAGCGCTGCAGCCCACAGGTGTTCGTGATAATGGTAAGCCTACTGACTGTCAGTATTGTCTATATCGCGTATTATCTGGGTCTACCATGGTGGTGGGATCGGAGTCCATTGATGACGATAATCCTATTGCTAATTGGAAACTGGCTGCTGGTTAATGTCTGTTTTCATTATTATATGGGTGTGGCTGTGCCGGCGGGTAATCCGCCGCAGGGAGGTCTTATCCCAGAAGCTGTAAGCATCTGCAAAAAATGCATCAAGCCGAAACCACCCAGAACACATCATTGTTCTGTCTGCAATAAATGCATCCTCAAGATGGATCATCATTGTCGTATCCTTGCATCAAATGCAAATTGATTTTATGTATTCAATTACTTTTTTCATCAATTAGTTCAACATAAATCAATTATTGTCAATAAGGATTTATTTGTTTTACGATGTCTTGTGATAAATTTTCCTTAATTAACACATAGCATGGCTAAACAATTGCGTCGGACACTATAATCATCGGCATTTTTTCCTGTATATGGTTTACACAGTAGTCGGCGTTACATTCGTCATGGTATTTGGTGTGCGACTCGCCTACGAAGAATTCTTCCCTGATCAGGAACCAGAATTGGACGGTCATCCAGTGCGTCTCAATAATTCCGAAATAATACCGATGGTACGTAAGTCACTGAACATCTATTTCGTTTTAAATTATAGCTGTTGCAAATGCGTGCTTAATTGTAGACGGAGTCATTGGATCACTTAAGCGAGGAGGAATTGGCGGAAATAGCAAGGCAGGCGGCAGAAACCAAATCCAAAGAATGGCGACAAAGACTGATAATTTTCGCTGGTCTGATCTGCGTTGCTACATTTGCAGCCGCTAGGTGCCTTGGCTTGCTGGCACGCAGGTCTTATTACCCGAGGAGAGACAAGCATTGAAGCGCATATCAATAGTGCGGAGTCAAAGAAATATCGAGCCCAGGGCAAATTCTATCAGAATCCTTATGACTTCGGGCCAAGAGAAAACTGGAGATTGTTCTTAGGAACAAAAAATAGGTAATTGATGAAAATTTTATCAAAATACTTCTGAAAATATTGAATGCAGTAATCTTCGATTGAAATACAGTATTGAAATATGTAATCTATCAATGACAAATTAATTAAATGAAGCAATGACTATAATTAAACAGTACTGTTTTTATAAAATTTCCTAACAAAATTAATTTAATTTAAACATTAAATTTAAACATTTAAACATTTAAATTCTGCAAAATCCGCACATTATTCGATACTAATTATGTTAAGTATCTATTTTCGAATTTTAAAAAATTAGTAACTACTGCAAATTTGGTTTATAAATATTTATTGGCACTTTTCATTAAATATATTGAGCATTATACTTCTATTTTCGCATTATAATTTGGTCGCATTCAAAAATTCATCTATTATTCTCTTAATATATTTAAATATTTGTTGCAGAAATTGGTGGTATATCTTATTCCCATCAACGCATGGCCCTTATGGCGACGGACTTACGTGGCGAACTATTCACGATAGTAAGATCTCTTGATTTTTGAAATTCGGAAAATCAACATCAGTTTCACATTCTATAATTTTTGCGATTTCTCTATTCTTATTCCAATATTCTAGTCAGAACTGCAGTGTGTTCATTTGTACTACCATAGTTAATTGAAAAAATGGTGTATGTACAATTAGCTGATCACAATTTTCAATAATTTGTCAATAGGCAATAATTGGAGCACAAGTTATATCAACTTCTCTGAAATTGCAAAATCATTCTTATACAAAAAAACTAATATAAAATGAAAAAATTTACAAATAACATAACTTTCTTAGCGTTTAATTAATTAATTACTTGATAATTAATTAATAACTAATTTTGTAAAACTTGATTTCGTCAAGTATAATGTAATAAAGAATGTTTTTTGTACTTTTCGCAAAAATCGAATAAATTGCGATTATTGTCCTTCCGGCCAAACGTAACTTTCAATCCATGAAAGATAAGGGGATACTTTAGTATAGACACCAGGCGTGTCACCTATCCCGCAGGCTTGACCGAAGCTGGTGATACCAATCACTTGAAAAAGGCAATCATTTTGAGGATGAATGATTTGTAGAGGACCACCGGAATCTCCCTCGCAGGTATCACTGCTCCGATTGCCGCGAACATCACCGGCACAAATCATATTCGTTGAGATACCATGCGGAACTTCTATAGAAGTGTTGTGCTTTTCCGAACATTTCACATTGCTTATTAGAGTCAGTTGAGCTTTTTGCAGTCGATTGCTTGCATCTCCAGCTAAAAGCATATAATTTAACGATTGAATCGATAGTTTAGCTCTTAAAATTTTTAATTTCCGAAATAAAATTTCTGATTCCTAAGATTTTAACTCTTCTAAAAGATGTCTAGATCTAGACATCTTTTAAAGATCATTAGACTTTACAATTTTTTTTTCGAATCCTTTATTATTCCGCAGCTTTCAAATTTATGCGTGAGAGATTATCGGATTATTTACCAAATTCGGTGGCACCCCAGCCGCTGACCCAGGCATTCTTGGGCACGAAATCATATCGCTGATAGAGACATGCAGGTCTTATCGCTAGGCTAAATGTAACGGGACTCTCAAGCAATATCAAAGCTATATCTGCATATAGCTCAGGTGGAAGGTACTCCGGATGTCTTATCATATCACTGATGGCAATCATTATGCCAGCTTGATTCGTCAATTCGTAGAAGCCTATTCGAACGTTAGTCGGATCACCGCTGCAAAAATCATCGTAAAGAAACTAAATTTACTAGTCCTATTTACATCCTATAATAAATAAATAATTGCAAGATAATTCTCATAAATCGATCTTTCTCAAGGATTATTTTCAGTTTCACAAAATTTAATTAATATTTGAATTAAAAGATCAAGTTTTAAAATTTTATAATCTTTTAAATTATGACTTTCAAGATCCAGAATTATTCCGTATCACGTCAAAGAAATATTCAAGAAGTCTTAAGAAATGTCTTCAATTTTTATGATTTTATTTTAGTCTATTATTATAATCATTCAAGTGAAATGACTGCCAAATAAAAAACAAAAGAAATCGCTTTCTTATTTTTAAATAGTTTAAAATAAAAAATAGATAGAAGTACTTTGGTCCATAAGTACAATGCGCAGCGGAAAGTACCCAGGTATGTGAAATTAACGTCCCGCCACACATATAAGAAAAAGTCTGTCCAAATAGTCTGCCCAGAGCGGCCATATGAGGAAACTCGCCGGGTTGAGCATCGACGCCACCAATCACCAGATGATTTGAATCCTGACAGGCATTGTTCACTCTGAACACGCCCGATGATGAACCGGTTAAAGATTGTATCTCAGTTACACCCGAAATCTCTCCAGCATATTCATCGCATTCTGAAATTTATTTTTTAGATGTTATTGTATGATTTATTTCAAATGTATAAAGATATTTGAAATTTTGAATTATTCATAAAATGTCTAAATACTTGTCTATTACATTACAAATATATATTTGTATACATCCTTCTTAAAATATTTTAATTCTATAAGTTTTTAAAATACACAATTATATTTTACTTACTCAGTTCTGATTTCGTTTTTACTGGACCAGTGATTTTAATGGGTATTAGTTCCTCCAATGATATACTTGTAACTGAAGGCTGAACTTGAGGAGTTGATACTGGTATATTAGGTGGTGGTTGTGATAGTCTTGGTGTACTAGGTGATAGCCTTGATGTAGTAGGTGATGGTCTTGGTGTAGTAGGTGGTGGCCTTGGGGTAGTAGGTGGTGGCCTTGGGGTAGTAGGTGGTGGCCTTGGGGTAGTAGGTGGTGGCCTTGGGGTAGTAGGTGGTGGCCTTGGAGTAGTAGGTGGTGGCCTTGGAGTAATAGGTGGTGGTCTTGGTGTAGTAGTAGGTGATGGCTCTAGTGTAGTAAGTGGTCTTGGGGGAAGTCTTGGTGAGGCAGGCTTTGATGGACCATCTGCATTAAATCTTGTGTCGGTGGGATGCAAGAAGGGATTGTTGATGTATAAGTCTCCACTATTTGAAAAGCTTGGTGAGACTGGCTTATTGACACTTGACAAAAATGGATTTCCACTTGTGCCACTGCTTGGTGAAAGTGGTTTTTGATTATTTGTGACACTATTTGACAAAAATGGATTTCCACCACTTATGGCAATATTTGAAAAATATGAATTTTGTTTATCTGGTTTTATGACAGTATTCGATAAGAATGGATTTCTACTATTTGTAACACTATTTGGAGATGGATTTTTATTATTTGTGGCACTATTTGACAAAAACGGATTTCCATTTTTATTGGGAGAGGAAGGTACGAAGGAAATGATCTCAACATTAGGACGAGTTGGAGACGATTGGAGGAAAGGATTAGCTGCGATATTCTCGCTGAGATAAACTTTTGAATTCTTTGAATTACCTAAAAAAATCAACAAGTTATTTATTATAAAAAAGCGCAAATATCTTTATAAATATATGTAATTACACATATATTACTTACATAAATAAATTAATGTATTATAACTTTTATATTAATTTACATAAATTCTTTAAATTTATATTTCTCAATGTAAAAAATTTTAGAAAAACGAGAATAACGAAATTAGAAAATTAAAAATCTTTACAACAATACAGATGTTAGTACAATGTACTCAAGTTTTATGCATTCTTTGATTTTAATAACACCCACAATCACACACAATTATTGTCACAATGTAATAATATTTAACAATGTAAAATAATCCATAGAATCGTTTCTCATAATGATGTTTGATATCAATGATAATCTTGAATTTTTCTCACCAATGGAAGCCACGCCGAGGATCAGAAAGATCGCAAGGAAATCGAAATAAAAATCCATCGCGAGGGTATACACAAGACTATTGAGTATTCGATGTCAAGGCAATTGACAGTGAAGATAAGCTACTGCGACGATTAGCAACGATGGAATCTGCACGCGTCTTCCTCTCTCTCCAATCTCTCCCTCCTAATTTTACGGAGAATGGAACGCGTAAAGAAGATGATAGGTAAAAAAAGCAAGAAGAGATAAGAAGGAGAAGAGAGTATGTACCAAGAGTGGGGAAACGGTCCTGTGCTCGGGTCGTGATTTCATCGAAGATGCCGACGTTGCGAATTTTAGTAAGAAATTTTAATAAAATAAATAGCAATCGTTAAGTATGCTAATTTAATTAAGTATACTAAGTTAAATTATAATATCTTGACAATATTTTGCATGTTTAAAATTGTGATTTAGAATGTATTTGTTATAGTAACTTTGCAAGTACATAATATAAAATATAAATATATAATATATAACATAATAATAATATATTTATTATTCATTCACAAAATTGACATAAAATAATATAATTTTATCATTATTACATAAACAATATATTTAAAATAATAT